GACAACAAATTATTATTACTGATGATGTTATCTAGTTTGGGTAATGAAACCTCTGCAAGAAAACAACCTCTCAGAACACCAAGGACCTCTCAAATGATTAATACTTTACATATCCTTGTCTTGTGTTTTAGAAGTTTCTTCCCTTGTTTTGTTGTTCAGTCACTAGGTTGTATTCAACACTATGTGACCACAGCACACCAGGCTCCCTGTCCATCACTGTTGCTGTGAGTTTGCCAAAATTCATGTTCACTGAGTGGATGACACTATCTAACCAGAGGTGGGTTCTGGCCGGCTTTACTGCTGGTTCACTTGTGTGCGCATGCACAGTTTAATTAAAACAAGGTGGTGACGGTAGCGACTGGGGAACTGGTTCGGGGGTGTGGCAGGCCTGGGTTGCTGCCGGTTCCAGCGACCCAGGCCACCATACCACTACTGGTTCGGCCGGACCGGGCCAAACTGGTAGGAACCCACCTCTGTATCTAACCATCTCATCCTCTGCCATACCTTTTTCCTTTTGCCTTCTATCTTTCCCAATGTTAGGTCTTTTCCGATGAATCCCCTCTTCTCCTTAGGTGGCCAAAGTATTTGAGCATCGGCTTCAGTATCCCTCCTTCCAAACAACAATCAGGGTCAATTTCTAATTTTTTCTAGCAGGCAGTAATATCTTTCAGGTTAACTGAAAATCCATAGTAGTTTCTGAAAATGCACATTCAATCACTGGTTTTTTAATTAATAAAGCTAATTTAAAATATCAGGTAGTTTAGGTGCTTGAAAGGAAGAATGGCTGCTACTTATCCTGTGACATTTCTTCCTACTTCTTCCAACATCAGCTAATCACACATTTTATTTTCCGGCTAAACCATTCCTTATGTTTCATAAGGAAGTTTCTTACATTTATAAACATGCAGACCCTCATGTGCTAACTTCAAAATATATCTGATTATATCTACATAATCTCTCTCTGCAAGTTGTAAATTGCTTTTAGTTCCTGTAAAAGTTAAAAACAAAAAGTTGTATGTTGTGGTATGTAGATACATGGATGTATGTACATAAGTTTATTTTTTTTAAAACATGTGCTTTATTAAGCAAGATGCACACATGTTCACATTCTGGAGTTGCTTATTTTTAAATGGGGAACCACTATACTATGTAACAGTCACCCCTAACTAACACAGAAAGCTGTGGCTTTTTGTTTTTGTGGGAGCTGCTGCTAAGGGCCAACTAGAACCAGATTTAAGAGGTCTTCTATAATTCAATTCCAAGAGAATCTCTTAAAGGGCCTCTTCTTTAGAGCCAATTTCAACACTGGAATATTGAAAGCATGATCTGGCTACCCTTAGAAAAGGACTGACTTGTGGAACAAAACCACTCACATAGATTTATTGAAATCAAATTGACAAGGAAACTCCTCCATTGGTTGTGAGTGTGCTTCCTACCATTTTGAACCACAAGAGGCTTTGAACTGCTTAAGGATCCATAAAGACTTAAGAGAGACTTTAAATACTGTAATATTTGATCAAGAGAAAAGATGTATTAATATGTGGCTGGAATAATTATATAAATTGTATATAATTTCAATGAACTACAAATATAAATAATATCAATCCAAAATTGCTGCTCTCAATCCATAATAAGAGCTGTGGTGGCGCAGTGGTTAGAATGGAGTATTGCAGGGTAATTCTGCTGACTGCCAGCAGTTCGGCCGTTCCAGTCTCATGAGCTCGAGAGTGACTCAGCCTTCCAAGGTCAATAAAATGAAGAGCCAGATTGTTGGTAATATGCTGACTCTGTAAACTGCTTAGAGAAGGCTGTAAAGCATTGTGAAATGGTATATAAGTAAGTGCTATTGCTATTTAGAAACTGTGTTGGTCCGGACCGAATTACATACTTCTCCTTTGGAATTTTGCCTCCTATGTACTATTTAGAACAAATAAACTTCTAAAAGTTTTAATGAATACAATAATGAATTGAATCTTACAACTTAAAAAACGTTAGGGACACTTCAGTAACTTGTGCTGGTATTATTTTCATGATTCACTAAACAACTCAATATTATGGCACCATCATGTGGTCATTTATTACTTACATTATTTATATTATTTAAATTTACCTTAATCCAGGAACGAGTAAAATGATGGAAATGAATTGCTCTAGAGGTGAGTTTCATTGTAGTTAGGGAGACTCATCTCCTGAATATGTAAAACAGATTTCAATATTGGAAAATTAGTTTAGATTCATTTTGCAGGTTACATATAGTATATTACATTGTTCAAGGAAAATAGTTAATGCTCTTTTTAGAACCTAGGTATTGATTTGCCATACTTAGTTAAGGAAACCTTTTCCATCTTTTATATAATAAAACATTCACTTAGAGAAAACAGTACACTACGTTAACGCATATCAAGTAAAATTTGCACACAGATAAAATGTAACCACCCCTTGCTATCCCCCAAACTGCACCTCATGCCAAAATTGTGTTAAATTATGTTTCATCTCCCTGTCCTGGATCAACCAAGTGTTTAAAATAAGATCCAGATTTATTGCTTTCTTTTTTATATTGTATATTTTAATGGCATACGATCCAGGGCCTTTGCCTACAAATGCAATTTATATACAAATAATATAATGGGGAAAAATAAACTGGAAGAAATAGTAATTTCAATTAAAATTATTGGGAAGAAACAACATTGTTGGTTACTTTACAACAATTTTAATACACTGATACATTTTGATAGCTGGAAGTGAGGAGTATAATTCAGGAACCAGTTTGCTTAAGAAACCCCACTGAAAAACAAAGCATATTTTTAAAAATATTTTTTTATTTTTGAATAAACACAAACAGACAAAACACAACAAACATCACAAAAATATCTTCCATTACAAATTATAAATAGTGTGTCAATTGGTTACAAAGAGCTTTCATGCATCGCAGTCATTAACTATAATTCATATCAAGTTATATGTTTTAAATCTAATATATTTATATATATTACTATCATCATACCTCAATCTTCATATGACTATGATTGTTTTTATGTCCCTTTATATTAAAATATTCCAAAATTTAAAGCAAAACCACGATGGTATTCCGTTATCTATTCTCAATATCATCCAGCAACATTACATCTTTATGACACTTTCTAAATAAAAAAAATTAATTATGTTTAATAACAAAGTTTCTAGACCTCCTTTCTTAATCACTGTTTACAGTTTATATCCATTTTCCCTTTTGTCATGTCAGTACAACGGTGGTTCCGCCCCAGGCGACTTATGGACCCTGTAAGGTTCCAGACGGAGCTTGAGGTTATTCCTGATACTCTCGCCCACAGTTC